GTAGAGTAAAGGTAAAGGTAGAGCACCATATATAGGTAGAGGTAGAGTAAAGGTAAAGGTAGAGCACCATATGTAGGTAAAGGTAAAGGTAGAGCACCATATATAGGTAGGTGTGGAGTAAAGGTAAAGGTAGAGCACCATATTTAGGTAGAAGTAGAGTAAAGGTAAAGGTAGAGCACCATACTCGTATATAGATAAAGGTAGAGTAAAGGCAAAGGTAAGGCACTATATAAAGGTAGAGGTAGAGTAAAGGTAAAGGTAGAGCACCATATATAGGTAGAGGTAGAGTAAAGGTAAAGGAGAGCACTATGTGAAGGTAGAGGTAGAGTAAAGGTAAAGGTAGAGCACCATATATAGGTAGAGGTAGAGTAAAGGTAAAGGAGGAACACCATATGTAGGTAGAGGTAGAGTAAACATTTACCTTCACTTTACCTCTACCTTTATATGGTGCTTTACCTATATATTGTTCCTTACATTTACCTTCACTTTACCTCTACCTTTATATGGTGCTTTACATATATATTGTGCCTTACATTTACCTTCACTTTACCTTTTACCTTTAAATGGTGCTTTATCTATATATTGTGCCTTACATTTACCTTTAATTTACTTCTATCTATATATGTTGCTTTACCTATATATTGTGCATTACATTTACTTTTAATATGCTTTACCTATATATTATGCCTAACATTTACCTTCACTTTACCTCTACCTTTATATGGTGCTTTACCTATATATTGTGCCTCACATTTATTTTATATGGTGCTTTACCTATATATTGTGTCTTACATTTACCTCTACCTTTATATGGTGCTTTACCTATATGCACAAATGCACAAATAGTTACTTTTTTATTTCGGATCACTAGAAAGTTTGCAATCATGGACACGATCACGTGGCAATTTTTTGAGACCACTCACTTCGACAACTGCTAATTTTTAAAATTATTTATTTTTTTGTTTTTACTTTTTTCTGTATTCTTGTAACGTGGATAAATAAATGATAAATAATAATAATAATAATAAAATGTATTGATTTTTTTTACGATGATTTAAAAATGTCCCGAAATTTATGCGTCTACACTAGAATACCTTAAGGAAAATTGTAATATTTTATTTATCATATTTTATCATAATTCAACCACTTTTCATAGACCTGTAATGTTTAAAACATCAGTTTAGACCATAGCTTCCCAAACTTTTACGCGTGTTAAGGTCTTTCGATGTTTTTTGCTTTGGGATAGATCTGTTTAATGTTTACACCACTTTGATGGTACAATAAAGTTCAGTGTTAAATTTAATATTATAATAATATACTATTTATAATTTTATTAAAAAAGTTATTGTGTATTTTTGTATAAATATAATAACGTGCTCTCTAGATTCCCTACTTACATGATATTGAAGTTTTATTTAATTTCTAACTATTCTGAAGATTAGTATTAAAAACTTAATATAAAATTCAAATTAAAGTTCATATATTAAAAAATAAAACAAAAAAATAAGCAATTAATAAATCTGATATTTTAACATTAAATTATCAACCCATTTCTATTTCGTGGACCCCAAAATTTGTTTTTCACTATAGTAGACCTCTTTGAAATTTTCTTCTGGGTAATTAATTTATATACTTCACTATAATATAATAAGAAATATATTTATGTATGTTTAAGCTTTACGCTATTTTGAATCAGTGTTTTCCCAAGAAGCACCAGACCCAGGTTTATCGAACAGGTTCGTCGGCGAAGGTCGTTAACGCGTTTACTTTGTATGAAGAGGGTTGCGCGTTTGATTCCCCGCTCTGGCAATCTGATATCGGGGAGGGCGATGTCCATTTTCAATTGAAAATATAGATCAAAATATGTTTCCAATTGAAAATAAGCCTATCTCGGGCACTGCGGTGTGAAATGGCAATGGGAAATCTCTCACACTATTCTTCTCTGAATCGAGTTGGAGTTTTAACTCAGCTCACGGACCGGCCTAGGGCAGTACACCCTTTATTGTTATATTTAGTATAACATAATAATTGTTGTAGAATAATTGTCTACTGTTATATTTAACAATTATTTTCATTAAAGCAAAAAATCTTAGCTTTAAAATTTTTAACAGCATTTTTTGCTTCCTAATGTGTCTTTCACAATTTCTAATATACTATACTGTGACAGTAACACTTCATATTTAGCTTCAGATTATTTATGATATCAATATAACTTTAAATGGTTTCAAGTTCCTAAATTTTTATTAAAAAAAAATTAACAAATTTTTCTATTTCTATTCAAGCCCTGCAAAACTCTATTTCTGCTTTCTCAAAACAGATAATATTTGGGTTTGAAGAATTATGTGGTGGTGGCCATAGCTTAGAGGTAGCATGTTCGACTCACACGGCGGAGATCGTTGGTTCAATCCCCGGCGCTTCCGAATGTACAAATATCAGAATGTTTAAAAATTTGAATTGTAATTATTAGGTAAAAATTTCAATTTCAATTAGAATTGAAAATAAAAATGAAATAGTAGAAAGAAGTAGTAAGATGAAAAGGGAAGAATGAAGAAAAGTTAAAGAATAAGATTTATGTGAAGTGTATAGTATAAGAAGAATAGAAACTATTAGTGCAGTTAACGGATAGGAAAAAAGAGTGTCACTTCTCTAAATATTTTACTGTGCTTCGAATTGCATGAAATTTTGGAATTAGGTTCATCTTAACCTCCAGTTCAAAAGTGAAAACAATTCGGGTTCCGCCACCATCCCTTTGCAACCCCTTAATAAATAAGTGGACATTGAGCCGTTTTATATCTAGAAAACGTTTTTAATATTATAGGATATAATTAAAAAATATTTTTTAATACATTTGCCTTGAAATAAAATTATTTTCAACCCCGTGAAAACCCTAAACCCCCTCAAACAACCTCTAAATTGAAAAAAAAACACTTACAAAAAAATAAATTTTGGTATGATATAATAAGAATTACATATAAAGTAAATAATATTTTATATTTTTCATCTTGATTATCAAATTTTTAACTCTTTTTAGACCCTTGAAAACAACAACCCCTTGATGAAAAATTATTCGAAAAAAATATTTTAAAATTGAAAGAATATTAAGAAATGCAAAATGATATGAATGGCATTTCAATTTTTCGAAAATAATTACCATATCCATTCTTAAAACTACCCTTAAATATACGTTTTTATTATAAATACACATAAGCATATATATACATATTAAAAGTCAAATACTGTTTTTGTAACATATTTATATATCATTTATGTATTATTTTGCAGACTAATTGACAATTTATTAATAATTTAATCTCATTAAAATATTATTATCATTTTCTTAAGCATAGGACAAAATTAAGTCAAAACTAGTGATGTATGGCATCGTGCCTTAAAGCAAATTGCTGGTACTTCCCGTACTGTAATGAAATATTCGAGAAATTTTAAACGTTTCAAATATATTATTACAATTGTAATTTAAATATTGTAACTTTTATTATTTTTGCTATCTTGTTATATCTGAGCAAATCAAATTAAATTATAAATAAATCAATTTATCTCCAGAACATTAACAATCGTCATTTCATTTCAAATTCAATTTCAAAAAAATAGTTTAGTTGCCTAATTTGCACAAAATTGAAAAAGTGCTCCAGTACATAAACAGTCTAAACGCGCTTGGGTAAATATTTGCGCCAGAGTGGCGCTTAGACAGTGCTTAGGCTGGGTAATTTTTTTGAATTTTTAATCCAAAATTACAAAAATATTTTTTGAAAAAAAAATTAGAAACAATTTTTTCCAAAAGCAATTATTTTGTTGAAACAAACAGAAAGTTTTTTGAATTATTTAAATCGGACGCTTATTTCTCTCAAAAACTGCAATTTTTTAACATTTAGCTCTGTATATCCGAAACCGCTGGGCCTACCTTCGCCAAAAACTAATAACCTCTTTTCCCCGTCATTACGAACTGAACGTTCAAATTGGATGATCCGTTCTCTCAAAAACTCGATTTCTATTTTCTGCACTCTTTGCTTTATATCTCCGTAACGGCTGGACCTGCCTTTGCCAACAACAAATCAGCACTTCTTCCTATCAATAGGAATAGAATGTTTTTTAAACCATTCAAAGCGGTTGATCCGTGCGCCCAAAAACGTGTACGAAAAAATGCGGACATACAAAACACACACACACACATTCATTTTTTCCGAGGTATACCAAACAATTCAAAAACCTTCAGAACGTCGAGAAATGCAAAAATTTTCATTTTCGATTTTCGGCCCATTACTATAACTACCCTACGGGAAGTTAATTAGGATAGTTTATATTAACAGTAAAAAGCGGTTTTTGTAACATATTTATATATCATTTATGTATTATTTTGCAAATTAATTGTCAATTTATTAATAATTTAATATTATTAAAATGTTATTATCTGCTTCTTAAGACAAAATTGGATCTAATTGGACTGGCGTTTATCAACAACAAGATACTGTTCTTGTAACATTTATATAACAATTATGTATTATTTTGCAGTTTAATTTACAATTTTTAAATAATTTAATCTTATTGTAATGTTATTATGAGCTTCTTAAGCATCTGACAAAATTAGGTCTAATTGGACTGGAGTTTATATCAACAGTAAAATACTGTTATTGTAACATATTTATATATAATTTATGTATTATTTTGTAAATTAATTGACAATTTATTAATAATTTGATTTTATTAAAATGTTATTATCAACTTTTTGAGCATTAGACAAAATTAGATCTAATTGGACTAGAAAAGTAAAATCATGCTCTGGTAACACTATTGACGTTCTGTGACTACTGCTGCTAGAATTGTACAATACGACCTAAATAATTTCGGCGCTGTCACTTTGTGGGTGTATGTCACTTTGTTGTCATTGTAAATTGTTTAATTTATATATTTATAATAATAGTGTTATTAATTAAATGAGTAAAAATTAAAGTTAATTAAATCGTTTATTCATTTATAGTTAGTGAAATAATTGTGATTAAACAGTACAATATATATTGTGGACTTCTGTGCATTACATAAAATTTTATTACATTTGTAATCATGAGCACTCCGGTTAAAAAAGTTCCCATCCACCTACAGGTAAATATTTCACTACTTTATTAACATGTTACCTTATGGTTGATAAATATATGTTTTAATGTTGCACTCTAAAATTATGTTATTATTTATTGTTTAAATAATATTTTATTTATTTAAAAAACCTATTATATCACCTTAAAAAATCGCATTACAATTATTCCAATATTTTTCATCATTTCAGAGTTCCCAGAACAGATTGCTAATTAAGAACGGCAGAATTGTTAATGATAACAGCACGCAAGATACCGATGTGTTCATAGAAGATGGAGTTATAAAGTAAGTATTCACAAATATATCAAACACCATTATTCATTTATTACATATTCATTGTTTTTTCATTTAAGGCAAATTGGTAAAAATCTTATAATACCCGGTGGAACGAGAGTAATAGATGTTCGTGGAAGATATGTTATGCCAGGAGGCATAGATCCTCATACCCATTTCGAACTGGAAATGATGGGTGCAAAGTCTGTTGATGATTTCTATCAAGGGACGAAAGCTGCAGTGGCCGGTGGAACAACCATGATAAGTATGTAAATATTATTATTAAAGAATTGTATGCTAAATTATACATAAATTAATTGTATAATTGTTAATATCGTATTTTGTAGTTTATTTTGTAATTAAGGATCGTCTAAGTAAAGCTTTTAATGGAATTCAAACTTAAAATGTGTAAGATTTTGCTTGCATATAGTTTTTTTTGTTTGCACAGTTTTTTAAATATTAAGAATAAAGCAATGGTATTAAATATTTTAATACAAAGTACAAAAATGTATGCATTTTTGCTTTAAATTATATTATTACTATTGTGTATATATATTAGGGTGGTTCTTAATATGGACATTTTCGAGTTTTAATTGTGCTGCATGAACAGCTAGTCGGTATAGAATTCTTCTTAGAATCCTTTTAGTGGTTAATACGAATATCTTATATGGTTGGATTTGGCTCGGAATTTAAAAATTTGGTTATCGGAAATTGCTAATAAAAATCTATTTTACTAATGTGTTTTTTTTCTTTTTTTCAGTTGATTTTGCGATTCCATCAAAGAACGAATCCCTGTTAGCAGCTTACGAACGCTGGCGTGAGCGTGCTGATGGCAAAGTTTGCTGCGACTACGGTCTGCACGTGGCCGTTACATGGTGGTCTGATAAGGTCCGTGATGAAATGGCTGAATTGACACAAAAACACGGTGTAAATTCGTTCAAGATGTTCATGGCTTACAAAGACGCCTTCATGCTTAACGACAGCGAACTATATTCTACGTTCGAACGGTGCAAAGAGCTCGGAGCTTTGGCTATGGTGAGTAATAATCAATTTATTTGAATCTGATTCTCATTAGAACCTCCCTTATATGCTAAGGTCGTTTAGTGACTACAGTCTTTAAATATATGCTTTAGTTCTGCTGTCTACAAGCTTGAAATATAGGCTATTGTTATCAAAAGAAGTCGTTGTTGGTCGAAAAAAGAATAATTTTTATTTGTGTAATAGTACATAAATATTTTTTAAAGATTAACCTTTTGGCATATAAGGAGGCATATATGACAAGTCAGAAACTAAAGCAGTATTTTGGCTGAATATTGGCCTTAATAGCATATTTGTAATATAAAGCAAAATACTAGAAAACAAAGTTGCGAGTCATATATGTCAGACTGGGAACAGAGACGGAGTGTAAATGGTTAACGTAATGTTTTTATTTATGCTCTTAGAGTGTTAATAAATACAAACAAATTTTACTATATATAAATTACACTATTTATGCACTTGCAGTTTTGTAAAACCGTAAGCTGCAAATTATATGCTAAAGTAGCGCGAAAGCAAATTGCTGGAACTTCCTATACCGTAATTTAAAATTTTTAAAAGCTTTAAAATTTTGTTGAAAATATTTAAAAAATAGGTTTTGGAGAATTTCGACCATTTTTGAAAAAATGGACTTTTTTGAAAATTTTGAAATTTTTTAATAATTAGTTTTTTTTTAAATTTTGAATTTTTTTGAAAATTTGGAATTTGTTTTAGTGATGAAATATCTATTTAACCAGTTTTTCATTTTGTCAATATCAGTAAAATGTTTTTTGAATTATTAAAATCGGACGCTCCGTTCTCTTAAAAACTAAGTTACGGTTTGTGGCACTTTTTGCCCCGTATCTTCGGAACGGATAGACCTGCCTTTGCAAAAAACTGATCAGCACCTCTCCTCATCAATATGAATCGAATGTTTTTTTATTAGTTAAATCGGTTGATCGGTGTTCCCGAAATCGTCGACGAAAATTTGTATCCGCGCACACACACACACACATATATATTAATTTTTTTTAAGGTATACCAAAATGTTCAGAAACCTCTGAAACGTAAAGATATATAGAAATTTTCATTTTCGATGTTTTTGCGATTACTATAACTTACCCTACGGGAAGTTAATTATGAACATAATGTTCAGAAACCTTTGAAATGTAAAGAGATGCAAAAAAAATTTTTTTCGATTTTTTTGCTATTACTATAACTTACTTTTAGCCTTAGGGTAAGTTATAGTAATCGCAAAAAAATCAAAAAAAAAAATTAGGGCCTAAGGGAAGTGAGAAAAGCTTTTATCCTATCTTTTGTTTTTCATTTAATATAAGTGGAGTCTAATACGTTATTTGAACGAAATTATTTCTACTCCGAAATCGATGATTTGTTCAACAATAACGAGAAATAAATATTGTTGTTCCTAGGTCTCATATTTGTTGTCGATTGTAAAGCAGCTTTTTATATGAAAATATACATTTCATTCTCTATAAAATGTTATGCAAATTTTCTATTATTATTTGCTAACGGAATAACGATGTATCTGTACATCAATAGATATGACTTTGTTTAAAGTTGTTTGTTGTTTAAAGGAAATAATATGAATATTTGAATATGCCAAACAACGCACGAAGTAAATATTTTTTGTCGTTCTTATTTTTACCAATACAAACTATTCAAAGTGTTTCAATGTGCAAATCAATTTTGATAACCTAATATTGATAACCCAGTTATGTTACGCTGCTTTCTCGAAGTAAGTAACTATTACTCATGTCGGTTCTTACTTGTACCAATGGGTAAACAATGATATCATTATAGCAACGTCAACAATCCTATAATATCCTCAATCGATACGATATTCTTTCGTGACTCTAACCGTATATTATTTAATTAATTTTACCTACTTATATGAAATACAATTTTTAAATAAATAATTGCAACGTTGCCAAAGGTTGTTTATAATTTGAAAATTGATTGACATAATTCGAGCAAGTTTTCCCATATTTTTCTTGAATCAAGACTTGTCTCATATCGTCTTTTATAACGGTGCTCTGTTGCCATTGTATAGCGTGCAAGTCTCGCTTCAGTCAATATCTAATTTAAATTCAAAGTGTATTAGTTGTATGAGAAGTTGTATTGATTTGATAAACATCAGTCACATAATTAAGCGTGGTTATTTGTAACAAAACGCGTGTTTCATTCAACATAATCGTTGTTGAAACTTATGAATCATCGATTGATATGAGAATGAAATCATGAAAGTTTAATATTAAAATTATTTCATTATTAGAAGCTTTAGTTTATATAATAGTTGACCCACTGCTTGTAAAATTTCTACAATTTAATCGGACGTTCTAGTTTCGATACCCACCTCGGGCAGTCTGATGTCAAGCAGTAGTGACATCGGTTTTCACTTGGAAATAGAGATAGAAATATGTTTCTAAGTGAAAATAGCCCTTATTTAGTATTGCTGCATTATTAAACTAGTAGTGTATGGCATCATGCCTCAAGGCAAATTGCTGGAACTTCTCGTACCAAAAATTATTTTTTTAAAAATAGATTAAATATTTTTTTTAAACTTTGGAAAAAATAGATTTATGAAAAATTTTACGTTTTTGAAAAAAAATTACTTTGGAAAAAAATCTTTTGGGAAAAATGTTTTTTTTTTTTGATATATTTTGGAAATTTTGAACTTTTTTTTCAAAGCAATCGCACTGCTTTAGCTGCATAGAGACGAACTATCGAAACGCATAAGCGCCGCGTCGGCGTCTTACGGACAAACGATGTTACGGAACCCAAAATTACAAAATGTGTACACATTATTAAAATATCTGATATTTTGATGTTCATATGTCTAATGATCATTTTTGGATGCCAAATGACATTTTTTTACTTGTTTCACTAGATCTCCGAAATCGCTAGACCTGCCTTCCCAAAAATTTAATTAATACTTTATCTTGTCAGTACAAATAAAATGTTTTTTGAACTATTTAAAATCGGATGCTCGATTCTCTTAAAAACTGAGTTACAATTTTTGGCACTTTTTGCCCCTTATCTTCGGAACGGCTAGTCCTGCTTCTGCCAAAAACTAATCAGCACAACTCTTTATCAATACGAATCAAATATTTTTTGAATTATAAAATCGGTTAATCCCTGTTCCACGAAAATTTGTATCCGCACACACACACACATACACAAACACATAAGCACGCGCGCACACACACATGCGCGCACACACATACATTTTTTCTAACAAAGGTATGCCTAAATGTTCAGAAATCTTTGAAACGTAAAGATATATAAAAAATTTTATTATCGATTTTTTTGAGATTACTATAACTTACCCTACGAGAAGATAAATTTTCATCACTCATTCGATGTAACTCGTTAAGGACAAGCGTTTGTCAGTTTTGCGTGATGATTGACCAAGCCGTTTTTTGTAATTAGCAGAAAATTGTGAAAATTTATTATCATGTTGTAGCCCATAATCCTATAACCGATTTTAAAAATTCAAACACAGTATGAAAGATATTGGATGTATTCTTCGTAATTAAATGCTGATTTTTTTTGACGATATTGATGAAACTTTGTATGATGATAGATTTCATATTTTGGTTTCCTCCTTGGATTAATTATTCGGGCTATGGGAATCTAATCAGAGGTTGCAAGTTTGATACCCGCTTGTGGCAGCTTGATGTCAAGCAGTAGTGACATCGGTTTTTACTTGGAAATATAGAAATAGAAATACGTTTCCCCGTGTAAAAAGCTCTTGCCAGGAATTGCTGCATCAATAAAAAATTCATAATACAGAGAGAGAACAACTCCTTGGATTGCCATATGTATAATTGACCTATTTACTTAAGTCAAATCATCACAACAGCTTATAGGACTCTTAAGTGCTGCTCATTGTTCTAATAATATATACAAAAAAATATTTTATCATAATCCAAAAAATATTTGTAATCAGAATGCAATGGATTTTCTAGATTGTTCAAACAAATATTACATGTTCGAGCGTTTTCAAATTCTTTATATAACATTTTTTATTTTGTATATGCAAGTCCATTTGCGCAGAATGCGAGATGAAAATATTTCAAGTTGTACGTGCAGAAATCTGCTTATTTTATCATTAAAATCATATAGACTCGAGAGAAAACTTGCGCGAACATTAAATGCAAGTCTTTGTTCTCAAAAATGTCGAGATAACTGAAATGAGTAAATATTACTGCAGAATGATAATTGAAACTTAATTCATTCGACACAAGAGAAACTTCTCTAGCGAGTCAGTAAATGCGTTATCGCATATGCGCAAATATTGATTTACTCATAGTGGCAATATTTTTCTATGTGTATGCGTCAGTGTACTTTTCATGGCTTATAAAACTTTTTAAAGTAATTGCTATGGAATGACTGGTACAATAATGGCAGATAAATAATATATTGCGAGAAATGTAGTTAATTTACTAACCTAGTTTAGGAATCACGTATAAAGTTAAAATGATGTATAAAATCGCATATTTTGTAAATTACTTTGGATTTGATTGCTCATTTATATTAATTAATATATGTACCAGACTTTTCGGATTTAAAGAATAATATTACAAATTTAATTTTTGAACAAAACTTATACTGGTCTTGATTTACAGTCCGCATTGCATCCGGGGATTTTTTTAGAAGCAATATTTATCCCGGATTCGGGGTGTTTGTTCCGGGTTGTCTCGAATTTTTCTTCCATTTTTGTTTTTAATTTTTTTAGAATTCAACTATTTTCACTAGAAATATTTTTACGATATTTGCATACACTAATATTTAAATGATATGCATGCACTAATTCACCAATTTTACTTTACTTTATTAAGATGACCAGTGGAGATGAGGGTTAGCTAAGTTAAATGACTCAAATATAATTTTTAACTATATAAAAATATAGTATTTTATTATATTGCTATATAAAATATAAAAATATTATAATAATCTGTTTTTTTAAATTAATGAAAAATGGAAAAAATGTATGAAGTTAAGTAACTTATAAAAAAAACTTAATCAATTATTTAATTATGAAGAAAATTGTACTGAATTTTACATAATGCTTGAAAGCAAAATAGATTATATTTCAGAAAAATATAAAAAACATTTAGTATCTACTCATCGGCAATTCTAGATCAAAAAGTCGGCAATACAGATCAACAAATTATAATTCATTTTAAAAAATACTTTTTACTAATTATATTTTTTATAGTATTTACTGTGCATATTTTTTACTAAAAAAATAATTTAAAATATCATTTTTAAGTAATTAAATTTAGCTAACCCTCACCCCCCACTGGTCATCTTAATGAAGGTGTGAAATATTTAAACTCACCCCACTGGTCTTACATCTTAATGAAGGTGTAAAATGTTTAGGTGAAAAATATTAAATATAAATTTCTGCTTAATTACTTATTATATATAAACATAATTTTCTATCGAGGTCATTAAATTGCAGGTTTCTGCATTCATTAATGACTTGATGATAGGCTATTGATTCTGCTATTAACACTTCATATGAGAAATTGTTGATAACGATTACTTCCGAAGCTTTAAAAATATTCAACTAAACTAAATTATACAGAAACAAACATATAATTATGTGTAATACAATTCTAGATCTGCTCAATACAGGTCATGCTCTATTTGTTTGATTGAATGATTAAAAGTTGATAAATACACATTATTATTCATGTAGAGAATTTGTGCTAATATAAGTACAACAATACCGTGAGAATTAAGAAATAATTTTTGTTAACAGCGATGTTATTAACTAGATAAAATGCAAATTTAATTGTGTATATATGCAAAATTTCACATACATATAAGAACATATATACATATACATATATACATGTAGTGAAACAGATTTAATATATGCGGTAAAGCGGGGTTTAAAGGTCCGCGGGTAAAAAGGTCCACCACCGATATCCCAAAACTAGTAAAGTTAAGAATTTTTTAACAACAATATTCAAAAGTTGAAGGAAAAGGAGCCATCTCTTTAATTCTAGCGAAATGTTATTACTAAAATAAACAGTTGAACATGCTACTTAAATAGCTGAATTTCAATTCATATTGATTAAGTTGAGAATCGGAAAATTTATGCAACTTGCCTTAAGGAAAAATGCTGCTTGAGGGGTTACACCACTGTAGCAGCCAAAAAAAACGTATATTTTTACCATTTTTTTCGGGCGGAGGCAAAAGTCATATAATCATGATATTAAAGATAGATATTTAATTATTTACTGTACTTAAGGTACAGTAACAAAAGTAACGCCATTTCGACGAGCCGCGTTAAATTGGATTTGTATTGTAATTTTTTTTTATTCGAATTTTCTACAGTATATTTAAAATACTATTTTTACAGAAATACATACATTCGACATCATAGCGGATTCAAAAAATATCGATTTTTGTTTGTTTGGCGAGCACTCCATTCAAAATCGTTAAATTGCAACTAAAAACGGATAGTAATTAGTTCATAATTGATGAACATATTACCATATAGAAAATCCGCTATGATGGGCACTTAAAAATGTAATTTTAAAAATAGTGTAAAAAAATCGAATGCAAAAAAATTAAATTGTTGTAGTTATTTTGCGTGCCGCGTTGAAAAATCGTTTTTCGAGAAAAACAAATGTCACTTTAATTTTTTTTACTATTAATCTGATATTTCAGCAACATACAGATGCTTTTCTATATTTATAATTTTTTTCTTATTTTCTTCCCTTGATGATTTTATATTAGAGCGTCCTACTTCTGGCGCATCCGTCAAAGACCGTTCGGAATGCTTAAGACTTTTATAATCGACTTCTACACAAGCAGTACATGTTTAAATGCCAATATTAATCTCTAAAACTATTATCATTTATAATATATTGATTAGACCATCGTTGAAATTATCCTCAGCAATATCAGCCGCAATATAGTCAATCTCTATATATGTTGGCTCTGCACTATTCAAGAAGATACATGTTGTCATTTTGCTTTATTAGTCCAGACATTTAAGCTTAAATTATGTAAGAATCTCGGAATTCGAGATACCCAGCTGTAAGTCTGTAAATACTTTTATATTAACACCTAAAAGTTGTCTCAAAACCTACATATGGTAGGATGTACGCAACATATGTTGGTTTTGAGACAACTTTTAGGTGTCAATATACAAGTATTCACAGACTTACAACTGGGTATCTCGAATTCCGAGGTAAACTTACTATAATGACTGAACTATTATGTTTTTTGTTAATGCATTTGAGTGGTGTCGGTTCGGAGCAGTCCGACGCGCATGCGAAAAAGCTCATAATTACAAGTAAAACTAGCTGTAAGTGGAATTCTGTCTTAAGGCAATTAGGGCATCGTGCCTTAAGGCAAATTGCTGGAACTTCCAGTACCAAAAATTATTATATTTTTAAAAAACGATTAACATTTTTGAAAAAAAAATTACTTCGAAAAAATAAGATTTTTGAGAAACTATAAATTTGACAAAAAATTACTTTTTTTTGAAAAAAAAAATTGAAAAAAAAATTATTAAAAATTTTTTTTTTTAAATCTTTTTTTTTGAAAAAAAAAATGTTTTCTTTATTTTGACATATGTTGGAAGATCTGAACTTTTTTTCAAAGCAATCGTACTGCTTCAAATGCATAGAGACAAAATATAAAGCGCGTAAGCGCCGCGTCGCTGTCTAACGCGTAAACATCGGTACGGAACCCATAGGAATGTAAACAAAATTTATACTTATTGTTAAAATTTCTATAAAATATCTGATAATTTGATGTGCATATGTCTAATGATCATTTTTGACCGCCAAATGGCATTTTTTTTTACTTTTTTTGTTATATCTCCGAAACCGCTAAACCTGCCCTTATAAAAATTTGATCAAATCTTCATCTTGTCAATACAAGTAAAATGTTTTTTGAAATATTAAAATCGGACGCTCCGTTCTATTAAAAACTGAGGTACCGTTTTTGGCACTTTTTGTCCCATATCTTCGGAACGGCTAGACCTACCTCCGCCAAAAACTAATCAGCACGTCTCCTTATCAATACGGATCGAATGTTTTTTAAATTATTCAAATTGCTTTATCCGTGTTCCCGAAATCGTCGACGAAAATTTGTATCCGCACACACATACATACTACGCACACACACACACACACACATCCATTTTTTCTAAGATATGCCAAAATATTCAGAAACCTCTGAAACGTAAAGATATATAAAAATTTTCATTTTCGATTTTTTTGCGATTACTATAACTTACCCTACGGGAAGTTAAAAATTAAGTTTTAGGTATGAAATATTTTTCCTCATATTCTAACAGGTTCAAATTTTTTTTTTGGTTTTTTAACAAAATTTACAGTGGTGTAACCCCTTAAACCTAGTTATGTCATAATTCTCTATAAAACTCTTTTTTCTTTCAGGTTCATGCCGAAAACGGATCTGTGGTCGCCGAGAACGCATCGCGGCTATTGGCTTCCGGTGTCACGGGACCGGAAGGGCACCAACTCTCGCGGCCCGAGGAAGTCGAGGCGGAAGCGGTCAACAGAGCGTGCGTTATCGCCCAACAGGTTAGAAATTTAGAATTAACATTATTCGTTAAAACACTCGTAGGGCAATGATCGATGACGCTATTGCAACGGCGTAAAATGCGTAAACAAACAGGGGAAATTTAACACATTCAATACTAGTTGCAATTTTAATGAATAATCGTGTTACGTTCTTGATGTTTTTACATACATTATTAAATTTAGACGTTCCGTGTATATCTATTTGTATCATATTTATATTTTATTATTATATACAGTAATACCCCTGGGGTGGTTATGTTTCATTATAGCAGAGCGTAAAGCAAAACAGCTCTAAATGAGACTATCTTAACACGTTCGCGGACGTGAATTCTATAGCATTTATTTTTATTCTGATGCATTATGACATGGATACTTTAGCATTAAAATTTTAAAGTCAATTATTAACTTTCCGTAGGGTAAGTTATAGTAATGGGCCGAAAATCGAAAATGAAATTTTTGAGAGAACTAAGCATCCGATTTGAATGATTCGAAAAACTGTCTTCTTATGTTGACAAAACAATTGCTTTTGGAAAAAAAATATTTAATTTTTTTTTTCAAAAAAAAATTTTTTTTGTATAGGGCTGTTCAAGTATTACGTAAGCACTATAGGGTGGCGGGGGGTTTATTGTTTTACTTATTTTGGGTATGAACTTTTGCTTACTTTTGCTGACAAAGGGGAGGGGGGTAAATAATTGTGCTAAATAAATCTGCTTACGTAATACTTGAACGATCCCATATCGAAAATAATTCAGATTTTAGTTTTTATTCTGGCTAAAGTTCTAAAGCTCACTTATATACTTTAAAAAAAATAATTTTAACTTTGAAATTCAGTTTATATAATTCTTATAAATATTAGGCAATGTTACAGTATCTATAATAATCTATTTGAAAACAATTTAATATATTTCATTACGGTAAGGGAAGTTCCAGCAATTTGCCTTGAGGGACGATGCCATACACCACTAGTTTTGAATTTGATGCTATATAACCTTACGTTTTTCTAATTATTATACCTGTCAAGGTAATGACTAACTGATCATTTACGTATCTTCGTATTATGTTGTTTTCTCCCATAGTCATAAATTACTTTGGGAAAGCACATTTTGTAAAATAGAAGCGAAACTTGACGTGAATGCTATAGCATTCATCATATATAACGATAAAAATATGATAATTTGACTACCTTTATGAACGTTGTTTAATCAAATTTCAGATATCACTGAAAATAAAATGACTGCCATTTTTTGTACCTTACTGAAACTTTTACTGTCCGCGAACGTGTTAACATGAAAATAATGGAGTTAAACGAAGTTGGTAGAAAATTGACCATGGGTTAAATTATTTTTTATTTTTTATAAAAATAACAGAAAATATCCATTTTACATAAAAAAACAAAATAATATAAACAAATACACTTATAAAAACAAGCACAATTCGAATTAAGTCTGCTTTGCGATTCAAATTTTTTGTCATTTTTGTCAAAATAGCATCTAACATAGTTTACGTTGTTCTTTCGCGTTATTTTGGAAGTTGTTTATGGGATACAGCATCTATAACATTTCAACTTGCTTTTGGACTCCTGTCAAAAGTATCATTTTTAGAAATGTCGTCCATAATTTCAATTAATTTAAAAACGCCATTAGAAGTTTTATTTGCAATTCTTTGAAATCACTACTATCAATATTTTTGGCTTCTTTTCGCTCAGTTAATTTCCGATCACCATTAGAACTACCTGCTATTTTTATAACTATTTATTCAACATCTCCACATTTATCTAAGACAGTTTGTTTCGCAAATTCTATTATTTTTTTACAATTTCACCCATATTTTGGTGAATCTCCGGGTTTAGCCCTAATAGAAAAGCGTTAAACGAATCGGCGTTAAGCGGGGTATTACTGTTGTCTGGTTTATTTATCATCACTATATTTAAATGGTTTAATCCGACCGTAAATTCATTAGAAACACAAACAAGATTTTGCTCATAGAACAAATAAATACTGTTTTTATGTAGATGCAGTGATTATTGCGGCTATAAATTTTTAAATTACTTTCGCTATTTATTTATAATCAAGAGCCACATGTTTTTACAATCGTAAGATCAATTTTAAAGAATATGATGTTTATTGTGTGTATGTGTGGAATCTTTTCAATGTTTATATATGTTTGTGCTCTTTGAAATGAATATTATTTTTGTGCATATATATTTCATTTTTATACGAATATTTTATCGATGTTTGTTAATGTTATATATCTGTTGCTATGTATATATGTATACAAAATATGATCTGGAATAGTCAGATTTTCAGGAAACTGGCGAGAGCATTTAATTTTGACATTATTAATAATTATTAATTTACTTGTGTATACAGAATTTAAAATATTTTTTGTGATATACAATGCATAGATTGAAATACGGATTTTGTTAGTCGAGACACTTTGCTAGTTGCATCTTATTTAAAACTCAAGAACTTGCATTTTACACCATGCATGTATAGATTATACACAATTTATTTTTCTTATTAGTTTGACTAACTTTATGCAAATTCGAATGATGAATGTGCCGGATTATTCGAAAATATTAATTTTTGCATTTACATGACAAAATATTTTTCCAACCATTACCATATGATAAATCATCATACTCTTTCCAGTTTTCTTACAATTTGAGCAACTTTTACTTGTTATATGAAATAATTTTATTTCACTTTGGTAATTATTAATTGTTACCTAATATTATTATTTCTTATTCGTTACCTAGCTTATCTTATTTAAGAGAGGACGTATTTGTAAGTTTATATAACGATTTCTAGTGATTTTCTTACTTTTTTTGCGCCAGCATGAATTTCGTATTTTTAAAGTAGTTAGCGAAAGAATAGCCCGAATTTATATTATTTATAGCAATAGAAAATCGGAATAAATCATGTAAGTATACCTTGTTGTATAATCATCATAGTAGGTATATGTCCAAGATGTTTGAAATTCAATAATAATTTTTGAGAATGCTAGACTTTTGGAATTAATTGGTAATTAAGAGATTTGCTTTGAAATTAATTATCTATTAGTTTATGATATCGGCATAAATATTAATTTTTGTTACAAAATAGATAAAAAGATTAATATTTTTATACAGAAAATGTAAATTAAATGAATCTTCGGCGATTTACCAGTAAAATGTAAAATATCTAATGTCTTATAATGTCGGCTTTCTTAAGTACTTCAGACTTAAAACCTCTAATGTATTGAATTATTATCATATGTTTTATCTGTAATATTATTAACGGTTTAAAAAACTGTATGCAAAAGACAGAAGTGTAGTTATTTGCAAAAGAGCAGTGTTATGCATAACGCGAACTCACGGCATCCGTTTTACCGATGGTATCGTATGCCATATTGTTAGACTTCCTTCTCCAGTAAACTTTTGAACTCGATATTAAGGCATTGGTGTCCAACTTACATGATCATTAATTCAGTTTAGTAGCAAATATTTTATTAAAATTCGTGTAATGAGTTAAATGTTTATAATTGACGATTCAAAGCATTCCCAAACTTGTTCCCAAACTTTATCGTTGTCTCCTTGCGCCTTACCATGGACCCCCTATTTACTTTTTATGAATTTATCGATTTTTGATTTTCTTTTTACAAATTTCTAACTAAACTTCAGTTCTGAACATTTGAAGTAAAAATGCATGTTAAGTTGATATATTGAATTTGAAATGGCAAAATAAACTGAGCAGTATGTAAATATTTCATTTTCAACATTTGGCGACAATTATGTAAGGTTTAATCTCCAATTCAGTAGCAAATTCAGTTTAGTAGCAAATATTTTATTAAAATTCGTGTAAAGAGTTAATGTCTGTAATTGCCGATTCAAAGCATTCCCAAACTTGTCGTTGACCTTGCGCCTTACCATGGATCCCCTATTTACTTTTTATGAATTTATCGATTTTCGATTTCCTTTTTATAAATTTCTAACTATACTTCAGTTCTGAACATTTGAAGTAAAAATATATGTTAAGTTTATACATTGAATTTAAAATGACAAAATAAACTAAGCAGTATGTAAATGCTTTATTTTCAACATTTAGCGACAATTTTGTAATGTTTAATCTTACATCTCCAATCATGTGCAGTATAATATTTCTTTCGTTAGGAGATTCGTAATAACGCCAAACCTATGTCTACTATTTATTACGATCGTCTACTATTTATTTGATCTTTAGTATCCAGAAATAATATACAAAATCAAAAGGCGCCAAAAATCGTGCCAAGCATAAGCTTTTTGACAGCCAGCATTTAGGCCCTAAATGGATCCCAACATAATATGCTAATATCTATTTACTTAATAGAAAGTCATATACAATATTTATAAATGAACCTAGAAAGTAAACAAATGCGCATTTTTATAAAAATGTGCTAATTGTAGAATGTAGGCATTCGACTTGTGGTAGCTAGATATTTCCAGTTGTTCAAGACCCTAAATTTCAGAAACCACAAGTCGAATGTCAATAATCTGCATACTACAACTAGTTCATTTTTATAAAAATGCGCATTTTTTTACTTTCTAGGTTTATTTATAAATATTGTATATGTCTTTAAGTAAATAGATATTAGCATATTATGTTGGAATCCACTACCGTGGACCCGCATTTTCAATGATGGGACCCCGCAAGTTTTTTTTTCACTGACGTTGACCTCTTGAAAGTTGCCATGTGGTGGTCTCATATGAATCACTTTGGAAATTTCTGAAATTTAAAGGATTGCCCTTTCAATGTTATCTGTTTTCTGTGTGCATAATTCATGTTTTATTGTTTGAAGCAATTGGTGTACATTTTTTTATTATATATAGTCTAAAATAATATTTATAGAGTTCTAAATCCTAATATTGTATTTTTTTTTACTGGAGTTTTACATAGATCATAACTATGATGATTAGTTGTTTTTTTATTATTTGATAATAGAGCATCGTCAAAATTTTCAAAAAAGCATAATTTCTTAGCATGTACGAGGCTATCTGAGATTGAACAACGATATGTCCTATTAGTTACGTTTTTATTTTATTTTGTAAACAAAATTTTACATTTTTTGTTTAAATATTGTTGTTGTACGACTATTACTTTCTATGTAGTGACAACGAATGACGTCAATGTCAGTGTCAGTCAATTATAAATGTAATGCACTACTAATGCATAGCAGTGACGTTCAATGCATTTTATTTTTACGTACAATTTATTTATAGTGGCAGAAAGCCACGTGCGAGTCCTAATATGTAGAGATAACCTTGAAAAACCTGAATAATTACATAGTACTTCGAAATTTAATTAAAATATTTCATTATCGTTCTATAATGTTTGTTTGTTAGTAGATGGGCAGTTTTGATAATGGTCCAAAATTTCTATCGTGTTTTCAAGGTACAACAATTTTGGAACAATCTTATGGAATAACAAAAGTTTCCTGTCAATCAGCGTTATATGAGTTCCCTTGGTTTGTTGACAGCAATTGTTTTTTGTAGAGAAAAAGAAATAGATTACCATGTACCGTTACGTTAACTTGTTCTTCAGTCTCGGAATGCTGACACTGCATTTTCGAAAGCATCGATATTTTTACCGAAACAAAAGCTTTGTTTATGTAAATCGCGGTCGTTTCTCACGTTTATTCAGATAACGAATAGTTCTCTATGTAAATAAGCGATATACTCTAGTTTATGTTTATATAAAATAATAGTTTGTTGTAGTTTTGTTTTAATAACTGAGAACGATATCTCGATGTTGGTTTGAGAAAAATAGCAGTAAACATTGCGGCTTACATTTTCCATAACAACGCATGATATCCTTTGGGAATAATGGGATGTTTATCTCGACAATATTACAAATCGGTTCTGAAAATTCATTTATAAATAATTTCATTTTATTTTGATATATAAGCAATGCTTCCACATGGTATAATTCAAGCTATTAATTGCTCAATAAATGTTTGCCAGCAGTTTGTAATAAGAGGGCAACAAAATATTTTTGTTGTATATTTGCTTATAATGGAATTTAAATAGTTAACGCTTTATATTCTCAACATAGATTGAAATAGACAGGTTGAAATAATACCATTTGCTTTCATTTAATTTCTTTTTCATTACTCGCATTATGTTCAAGAAGAGTATTTATCAAATGAATATTCAATTGGTGATACTAATTTAGGATTTCTACGTCGCTTATTTTTAGTCCAGTGTATTTACCAGATCTTACGCTATTTTTAAAGATGTAACTGTATGAAATGAAACTGGTAATTGCTAAAAATACATTGAGTGCGTGCTTAGATCAAAGCACTAAACATAATTTAAGCCAATAATGAAAATTATTAAAGCATTGTTTTACTAGCATGTAGAGTTGCATACATCATCAAGAAGGAAAATGAGTAGCTACAAATAGATGTTGTAAATTGATAATGGTAACTGGTACAATTGATAATTAAGGTTAAATTATATCATTGCTTAACGTCAAGCTGTCGTTGACTATAATGTATTAGACGCGTGGATTATTCTGATACTAAAAGTTTTATTATTTAGTTAGTAGTTTCCGCTTAGCGAACTGCTGATACAATATCGACACTCTGATTTTATTATTTATACGAAAAATTTTGAAAATCAATAATAATTTTTGATACCAACTTATTTTTCTTTTTGTTATCTGTTTATACTGCTACCCGTCAAAAGTGTGCCACTTTGCATGTTCTGTATAGCAAATGAATGATTAACACGTTAATTGCCATGTCAGTCATATGTGTCTGACATACGCGATTTGGTAGAAAGTCACATCAATCACAGATGTCCAACGTTAACGATACATTTGCAGTATGGTTCGACAGCCTGGCTTCTAAGTAACAGAACTTAAAAATGTCTTGGCATATTACAAAATAAACCTATAGTTATATAATGTTTCAGTTAAAAAAATACATTTTAATAATATAATTAACTATATTTTTTCATTATGCTATCCAAAACATTCTGTGAAAAAAGGGCTGTTGTTCGCAGTCTAAGCAGTACGTTTAATTTAATTATCGATTAAAGTTACTATGGCCGATGTGAAAATTTTTTTGATGTGATCGTGGCGATTAACGTGTTAAGTAAAATCAGTACGATATAGCAATTCTTTCGCTACGGCAGTGTTTTCTGCAAGGAATGTCGCTGCTGTACGGGAACAGCGTGCCTCAGTTGCACTACTGAACGGACAGACAAAACGATATATTTTAAGGGGGGCGATACATGTAACAAGAAAAAAAATCGATTTTTTTTTCATAAATCGTTACAATAACATCTCAAAAATATGCCTGTAAATATTCAAAACAAAATTATCATTATTTATACAATAAAACTCATTTAAGTGCCACGCCTCAACTCGACGCTTGAGTGCTATTGTACTCTTATCTGTTTCTGTGTCAAAACTTTAAACGCGTTTTTCTCAAAACGACATTTTTGAAATTTGCGGGCGGGATAACTCAAAAAGTTCTCAACCGATTCCAATGAAATTTTGCACACATCTACTTTACAGTAATAGCTTCTAGTTAAACCTCAAACATTCCAAAAAAATTTTCAAAAATTAACCCTTTTACCAAAAAAAAACCATTGAAAAAAAGGTGAAAAATCGAACTTTTTTTCTGAGGTGTGCCAATTTACGATTTTGTGACTTTTTTAATTTTTTTTTGGTTTAACTAGAAGATATATGTTTTATGAACACGTACAAACTAATTTTTTTGATTTCAAATCACGGTACGAAAAGTGAGAACGCCTGCAAATTGATGGCGTTTTCCGAGAGGGTCTTGGCAGATTTATTTTTACGGCAGCCATTTAAAAAAAAAATTAAAAAAAAAATTTTTGTGTATTTTAATATATAATAAATAACCCTAAAAAAGTTCAAAAAGATTCAGTCATTCCTTTACAGTTTAAAAAGTCCTCAAAAATGGTAAAAATTAAGGCGATTACATGTATCGCCCCTTTTAAGATATTTCTATCATTATCAACAAAAATGTGTTAAAAAATTCAGAATTACGCTTTTAATGAACTAGAAATTATAATAATAAATTATAAAATTATAATATAATACTAAAATAGAATTTTCAATAGTTTGTCATAGTGATAAATCTTGAAGTAAAGGCAAACACAACATGTCGTTCATGGACGACATCCGCACACCTAGCACGTCATGTGGCTGTCGTCTAGGCACGACATCCGTAGCGAAAGTGTTGAATTCATAGTCTTATTTATAAACTTACAGATGATGTTAGCTTTTTATTTAGTTTGTCATGGAGATGAGTTTAAGAGATTTGTTCTAAAAAAATAGACTTGTTAATAAAGGAGGGTAAAGTGCTTCTCCGCTTTTGAAGAAGCGTTTTATACAAAGTCTATTCAAAACGTCATCTGTATGTTAAATAGTCTAGCCTGACAAACCACCTATTTCCACGGTCTATTTAAATTGCACATTGATCGTACATTGACTTCGGTCGCGCACGCACGCGTCACCTCGTACAGAATCGCTGTCCGCTGTACGTAGTGCATGTGATGAGCAAGTCTGCAGGCCTGGAGGTGGCCCGTGCCCGTGGTCGTCCAGGAGCTGCTGTTTACGGTGAGACATTAGCCTGCGCTCTCGCATGCGACGGGCGAGCATACCAGGACACGTGTTGGCGGCATGCAGCCGCGCACGTGCTCAGTCCACCCCTCCGACCGGATCCAGCAACGCCAGCTTTTCTGATGTCCCTGCTGGCGCAGTGAGTAACTAAAGACATGTGTATTTTGCTATTGACTTCTCAATTTGTATGAAGAGCACATTAATTTCAACATTTAATAACTTTAACCAAAATCTAATAATTTATTCTGTTATTCACTGCATAATATCACCCTTTGCAAGATTGTACAATTTGTTAGAACTATTTTTTTATATTTGGATTTGATGGAAAACACAATCACAATTCTTGTAAATTCTTGCAAGATTGTACAATTTGTTAGAACTATTTTTTTATATTTGGATTTGATGGAAAACACAATCACAATTCTTTTTGCTCAAGTCATTTAGTTTTCCATTTTTATTTATAATAATTATAATGAATCATTGATTTTTGGAGTTCAATAATTTTTAGATGTATAATTAGTACTACATTGTTGTTGTCCCTACATCATACTAACGAGGGGCTAAGTGACAATTGTTTTTTTTTTTTGGTTCAAAGTTAACTTTGAGTATATGTAAAGTTTGAATAACAAATAATTCTAACACGAACGAAGAATCATTTCGTATGACTTACGAAAATAACTGAACATAATAAAGGAATGGAGCTTTTTGAATTAATTTGCTTTTCAAGCTGTTTCGTATTACATGTTAGTCAGTATGATGAACAATGTTTTCTTATTTTGCATGCTACTTATTGCGGTCTGTATTGTATATAGCATTTGATGTAGTTTATACGTAGTTTCCTTATTCAGTATTATTTAAAGTTTTCTAGTTCGCGTGTTTGCTTTTATGGTGTGAAGTTTATGTGAGGAAAGTGATAGTTTGAAAATATTTGTAATAATTGATCTTTTGCGTGAGGAAATTTTTCATATTGCTTACTGATACGATCATTCTAATGAGAATATAATTCTATACATTTTCCTGTTCAAGGGCTAACTAATATTAGAAAAAATTGAATGGTGGCAGCAGGCTCAAAAACTAATTAAATTTATGATGTGCATTTCAAAACATTGGCACAGTTTTACCTGTTTTTTATATAAAAATATATACTTTAAGGAGTCTAGAATAATCGACAAATTTTATTAGTTCTGTAGCAGTAGTAAATGATCTGAAGGTTGAGAAACGAGGGTGTCAAATTAATTGAAATCTAATTTAATGTAATTAATATCGTTTGACAGTTGTAATCAATTAATATCTTTTGAAGCAGTTTGTAAAATGTTAATAAACATACTTAGATAGACTTACAATATTTTTTAACAAATTAACTGGTTAAATTTTAAATGTGATACCAGTATTTTAATATAGTAGACGATAGGTTTTATATTATCAAAGTATGGGAATAGTTCAAAATTGAATTCTAATACAGCGGTTTATGATAAGTTTTATTAAATGTTTATAAAAAACCCGATAAACCGCGTGAATCAGGTGAAATCGCCGCTCTACGTGCTGCACGTGATGAGCCGTGCGGCCAGTGAGGTGGTCGCGGCCAAGAGACGGGACGCCATACGTTCCGAGTGCGCGCTCTACGGCGAAGTAGTTGCCTGCGCCCTTCGAAGTCCAGCGTCCAGGTCCAACTCGAACCTGTTACGCGATGCCACCAGCCCACCAATGCCGCGCGATGAACGTACCGCCACCGGCTTGATAAAGATGCTGGCCTCGTAAGTCAACGTAGTGTCGGAAATTAAAAAAATCACTTTATTTTCAGCATTTCTCATTTTAGTCCAGTCATTTGGTGCAAAAAAGGATGTTGCCGGTACAGTACTCCGGGAATTCTGAAAATTGGCAATCTTATAGATTTCGAGGTGCTCTTTACGAAAATCAACTTTGCCACCTCAAATTTGAACGGCAAGTTGCGGCCATATTGGAAAAAAGGCGTCAAACAACAGCTTTTTTAAAATATCTTTTTTCTGGCTGATTCTACAATAAAAGTATTTATGTACGAATTAAACTAGATAAAATTTCCTACAATTCCTTAGAAAACCGTTTTTCTATAAAATTGATAGTTTGAGAGTACGGCCGCCTCAAAGTCTTTGCTGCTCTCGCCGTAGTATCAAATCTCTCCATATATGACAGCACTTCGAACTTGATCACATTCTCTCTAATAATTAATATTTTAAGCGAATAAGATCTAGAAATAAAATAATTCAAATATTTTTCGTTTTTTTGCTGATTTTTTACACTTCAATGGCAAAGTAGCTATAAGTAAGTAGCTTGAAGTGTTAAAAAATCAGCAAAAAAACAGAAAAATATTTGATTTATTTTATTTCTAGATCTTATTCGCTTAATTTAAATTAAAAATATATTTTTATTAGAAGGAATGTGGTCAAGTTCAAAGTGCTGTCATATATGGAGAGATTTGATACTACGGCGAGAGCAGCAAAGACTTTGAGGCGGCCGTACTCCCAAACTATCATTTTTACAAAAAAAAAAACGGTTTTCTAAAGAATTGTAGGAAATTTTCTCTAGTTTAATTCGTACATAGATACTTTTATTGTAGAATGAGCCAGAAAGGAGATATTTTAAAAAAGCTGTTTTTTGACGCCATTTTTTCAATATGGTGGCAACTTCCCGTTCAAATTTGAGGTGGCAAAGTTTATTTTCGTAAAGAGTACCTCGAAATCTATAAGATTACCAATTTTCAGAATTCCCGGAGTACTGTACCGGCAAAACGACCAAATGACTGGACTATTTGGTGTATTATCAAAGAACGAAAGATTATCAGACTGCTTATTTTTACAAGTAGACTTTTAAATGATCTCGGCAATAATTTACCTGACCGATACATACTGTTTTTATTCAAATATTCTAGTCGTATATAAATTATTATATAAATTTTCTGTTGGAAACTCAATATATGTAAAGTTTTGCTAATGTGCAAATGTAATGTATAATTCAATATTTATGAAGCTATCACATTCTATTGCTGCTCTTAATACTTTGCACTGTATAATAATATACTACACTGTTTGCCGTGCAGAATTTATAATCTATCTAACAAATTACACTAACAGCCTGGAAAATGGATTTCATGAAAAATAATTTTTATCAATAGAAATTATGGTGACTGATTTATTATATAATAATTTCACTATACATTTTTACTTCCCTCTTATTTATATAACAAAAATTATTGTTACTTCGTATACTGTGTGAATCATATGTTTTAAAATATTTACCGACTAATAACATTTGTATAAACAATCGTTGTACAAAATATCAATGACTCAGAAAACTCGAATGACGAACGCTTAATTATTGGTATATTATAAATGCAGGTGTAGGAATTTAAATTGTTTGAAATACTTACATTTGTTTTATTGTTAGTTTATATCAGCTAATTTCATGTCTAAATCATAGCAAGGCTTTGCTGAAGAAAAAGGTTTCTGACGAAACGTTTTCTTATGCTATTGATATTTTGGGGGTTGAAGTATTAAATATGAATTGATTTTAGTTATTTAAACAATTAGATATTAAAGTTTAAAAAAATACTATTTGTATAGAAAATTTATTTTTATACGTTTACAAGACTTGCCTTAGCCTAATTTGATTCATATATTTTTGTAATTTATTTATTTTTATTATTGTGTTATGACAATATAGAGATGATTTGCAAGTCACTGGTTCAGACAATTGCACCTTCAATGAGTCCCAGAAAGCTCTTGGAGCTAAGGACTTCACCAAAATTCCAAATGGTGTGAACGGTGTCGAAGATAGAATGTCTGTGATTTGGGAACGTGGTGTGCACGCTGGTTTGATGGATCCACAGAGATATGTTGCCGTGACCAGCACTAATGCAGCTCGTATTTTCAATTTATATCCACGTAAAGGCTGTATCGCCGAAGGATCTGATGCTGATATCCTCATTCTTAATCCCACTAAGACGCGTGTTATTTCAGCCAAGACACATCATCAGGCGGTGGATTATAATATTTTCGAGGTCAGTATAGAAGGCAGAATAACTAATAATCTGGCATAGTCTATCTTTTTTAATGCAAAAATATTTCTCATTTATCATTATCTATCTATTCACAGGGTATGGAATGTCACGGTGTTCCAGAATACGTTATTGTGAACGGTCGTGTTTGTGTCGACGAAGGCGACCTGAAAGTTGTGGAAGGCCATGGAACTTTTGTAGAGACACCATGTCATGCACCATTTGTCTATGAGACACCACAAGGATCCATAGCAGCCGTAAATGATATGACACAACAGTTGCAGATAGATGTGCCACCGAGCAACGGACACCATGAACCACTACCACCAGCTGGAGCTCCTGCCTATGCAAGGTTAGTAGATTTCGTTTGGTTCATTATGCTTTTATTAATTAATTTATCGATGAAATAAAAGGAACTATTTAAAACACTTCATGAACAATATTTATATCATGGACAGTTTCTTTTGCTCTTTATTATATTGTATTTGTTAAGTGTTTAATTCATTTTCCTAAAAGCTTGTGCTTGAAGTTAAAATATTATTACTGCGTTCTTGATATATGTTCTCTAAAATGATTTTATAGCGGAATAGATATTACATATATTGTCTGAAAGGCTACAAGAACCTCACGCATTAAACAAGTCTTGGTAAAGATATTAGAAATATAGGGCCAATTCTCAGATAAAATAGAAATATTATGCTACGGGTTATTGTCAAATAGCTATGTTTATCCTATGCGGTCAAGCGTTTTACTCTAATTGTAAATCAATTTCTAAAACCTAGCTTCCAAGAGGCACAAATGCGAAATAACAATTTTATCATAAGTGCAACTATCTGTTGTCACTTTGATAACACATACGTGAAGTCTAACCAAAGTTAATAAGTTGAAGTTTGTGCCTTTTGGAGGTTAGGTTTTATGTGTGAAACGCCTGATCGAGCAGCAAAGACATAAAATGACTCTTCTTGACTACCAACTTATACTATTATTTATTTTATCCGAGAATTGGCCAAAATTAAATTCTGCTTAATTCTTTGCGAAATTATAAATCATGTATTGTGGCGGAATTAGCTCATGAGTAGCGTTTCCGACTCACACGCAGGAGGTTCGGAGTTCGAATCCTCGACAAAAAATATTGTTAAAAAAATAGTTTAAATTAAAGTTAAAAATAGTTTGAAATAGTATTAAAAATAGTTCAATCGTGAATAAAATATTAGAGAATAAAAATTGAATAGAAGTAAGGAAGAAGTAATGGAAGTAAGAATAGAAGTATTGAAGACGTAAGAAGATAGAAGATACAATGATAGATGATAAAGAAGAAAAAAGAAGAATGAAGTTACGTTGTGTGAAAAACATAGAATAGGATAGAATAGTTAGAAATAGAAAAGAATAGAATAAATATACATAGAAAATAGTTGGAAATAATGTTAAAAATAGTTTGAAATAGTATTAAAAATAGTTCAATCGTGTACAAAAGATTTGAGAATAAAAATTGAATTGAATAGAAGTAATGAAGGAAGTAATGGAAGTAAGAATAGAAGTAATGAAGACGTAAGAAGATAGAAGATACAATGATAGATATAAAGAAGAAGAAAAAAGAAGAATCAAGTTACGTTGAAGAGTACATAGAATAGGATAGATAGAATAGTTAGTAATAGAAAAGAATAGAGTAATACATACATAGAATTGTGGGAGTAGTAATGATTATTATAATATATTAAATTAGAAACTCCCAACAATAAAAAAAATATAAATTTATTAACTATAAAAATATTTCGATATCAAAAATATACATGACATGTCCGATTGTTTTTTACATATCAAAACCAGCCTGCTTGATATCGCCACACACTCCCTGCCCAGTGTTGATCTCACAGTTTAAAAAAAAATACAGGGAAACACGTTATAAAAATGTGGTGGGAAAGCAGATTATAGCAGACCAGTGTTGTAATACTGGTCAATTACAATTTCCATGTTTCGTCAGCAGATCCACCGTATGTGGTGATTTGACCTGCCATCAACTCCATATTCTGCATAATGTTCTCGATCTAATGGGTATTAGTTATATCAGAATAACTTAATGTTTAGAATGCATAATTTATGGGTACAGTTTCCATTTCTGCAAGCGTTGCATTCGTATCTGATGAGTTCCGATCAGAGAAAGAAGTTGGCTCTTTATCCAAATCAGGATCATTGGTTTCTTTGACATAAGAGTCCAGAATTGTGGAATCCAATAAATTATGTCAAATTTTGTTTTGATTTGTCGTTGTCACCGATAATGGGAGGTAGCATTATAAGACGATTTGTTGAGTTAACAGAGAAAGAGAGGTTGAATTGCATTCCAATGAAAAGTTCAGGCTCCAATTATTTTTTCTGTCAGCAATAGACACTGAGGTCTGGGTATACCAAATGAGTAACCTCGGAAGTCTGATCCAGATAGTAAGTGCGTTAACTATGATGGATTGGACTGGACATACCTTATAGGTCGTCACTGAAGACCAGTGATATGGTGCTGCGTCAAAATCAATTTTTCTTAAATCTTCGAAAAATAAAACTCCTTTATCTTCATCTCCATCGTCGTGAGTCACCAATGTGGAGTAGTAATGATTATTATAATATATTAAATTAGAAACTCCCAACAATAAAAAAAATATAAATTTATTAACTATAAAAATATTTCGATATCAAAAATATACATGACATGTCCGATTGTTTTTTACAAATCAAAACCAGCCTGCTTGATATCGCCACAGAATAATAGTTTGAAATAATGTTAAAATAGTTTGAAATAGTATTAAAAATAGTTCAATCGTGTTCAAAACATTTGAGAATCAAAATTGAATTGAATAGAAGTAATGAAGGAAGTGAAGTATGAAGACGTAAGGAGATAGAAGATACAATGATAGGATAATAAAGAAGAAAAAAGAAGAATGAAGTTACGTTGAAGAGTACATAGAATAGGATAGGATATAGAATAGAAAAAAGAATAGGATTTATATGAGGAAATAGTATGAACATGAAGATTGTATTGAAATTGAAATATGTTGTAGGTGGCTAAATTACAAATTATTTACAAATAAGCTCCTTACATAACTATAGGTTGTTTACTGCTGAACATTGTTTTTTTTACAATTGTAAAAACGATTACTCCGTAGATCCCATACGCATTAAGTCCGGCTTTATCCTTTGCACCGAGTTTAGCCGACAGTACGGTGAGTAGTACCGGCAAAGCTCCCCGTCAGGAAGGACAGCGTAATTTACAGGATTCCACTTTCTCTATCAGCGGTAATTTACTGATGTTTTGCTTTTGGAATGTTTTGTTGTTGTAGTATTGGCATGCAGAGTTATATTAACAATTCGTCAAGAAGATCATTCATTCGCTTTTTTATATTTCTTTATTCGTGCAACTAACTCTAATCACGCTAATTTTAATTTTATTTAGCTGAGCACTTTTATTGGCGTTGTCATTTTTTGCGACACTAACTTCATAATTAATAAGGTGGAATGTTATTATCGTTGTCGTTATTTTTGGTAATACTAATCTCATCAAAATTATTTGGATAGAATGTTTTTATTTGGACATTTTAATTTTTAGTGACACTAACTTCATGAAAATTATTTTGGTGGAATATTGTTTAGTTTTCGTTGTAATTTTCGACGACATCAATTATATAAAAATTATTTGGATAAATATTTTTGTAGTTAGACGATGTCTAATGATAATATTCGGTGACACTAATTTCATAAAATGATATTTTTTAGTTGAGCGTTATAATATTCTGACACTAATTTCATAAAATGTATTTGAGATGAATATTTTTTAGTTGGGCGTTATAATTTTCGGTGACAGCAATTTCATGGAATTACATGTCCCTGAATATTTTTTTGTTGGTTAATTATTTTCGGTGGCACTTATTTCATAAAAATTATTTGGGTTGAATATTTTTGTTTGAAAGTTGTACTTTTTGGTGACACTAATATCAACAAAATTATTTGTGTTAAATATTTTTTTGTTGGGCGTTGTAATTTTCGGTGACACTAATTTCATAAAATTGCATTTGGGTTGAATATTTTTATAGTTGGTCGTTGTAACGTTTGGTGGCATTAATTCCATACAAAATAATGGGGTTCAATATTTTTATAATTGCCGTGTAATTTTCGATGATATCAATGTTATAAAAAAATAGGTAAATATTTTTATAGTTAGACGTTTTAATTTCGGCGATATCAATTTCATAAAAGTTATTTACACGTTGTAATTTTGGTGACCTAATTCCTTAAAATAGCATTTGGGTTGAATATTTTCATAGTTGGTCGTTTGTAATTTTTGGTGGCACTAATTTCATAAAAATTATTTGGGTGAATCTAAGTTCATAAAATGTACTGAATCGATATTTTTATAGTTTGGTAGTTGTAATTTTCGATGAGTGAAATCAATTAATAAAAAAAATTAGGTGAATATTTTTATAGTTAGACGTTATAATTTTCGGTGACACTAATTCATAAAATTGCATTTGGGTTGATTATTTTTATAGTTGGTAGTTGTAATTTTTGATGGCACTAATTTCATAAAAATTATTTGCGTTGAATATTTTTGTGACGCTAACTCCATAAAATGTATTTTTGTTAAATATTTTTATAGTCGAATATTTGTAATTTTTTGTGACACTGATTTTATAAAAAATATTTCGGTTCAATATTTTTAGTTGTGCGTTGAAATGAAATTTTTGGCGATTGGCTTTGATTAATTTCGAATTTTGAATTTTGGCTTTGATTAATCGATGATTTTTTCATTAATTTGCATATCTATTTATAGCAAAAAGTGTGTGTGATTGTATTAATTTTTTGCGAAAGGAATACTAAACAATGTAAATCTCTCTGTAAGTTACGTCATTTTTCATTTATCATTTAGTTGTGTGGTTGTGGAATATTTAGTAGTTCAGTCATTTAAGCTTAAATTAGCTAAGAATCTCTGAATTCGAGATTCTTACAGACTTACTCAACTGTAAGTCTGTATATACTTGTATATTGAAACCCTAAAGTTGTCTTAAAACCTACATATGGTAGGGTGTTAATACCATATGTAGGTTTTGAAACAAACTTTAGG